ATTGTATCCAGGCCCTGCCCACAACAGTCCTCCTAAAATTGGCACATAGCAACTCTTTAGCAACAAATTGCTAGTGTTTCATTTATTCCTCACCAACTAAATCACTTCCAGATGCTTTTTCCTTTGTTAAGGAAAAAAAAAAAGAGTTATATTAACATGTTCTCTGTTTTCTTTGACTTTGTCAGCTGCACAGGCAGCCTGGGTTTACTACTTAATTTATTATTACAGAGTTAATAACCCCAACACATCAAGGGAGATTAAAGAAAGAAAGAAAAAAACGAGCCAAATGCTCTTGGTAACAAGCAACAAAATTTTTAAAACAAGCTTGTGTTTCTGTCTCTCTGCATTGTTGATTGTTCAATAAACTTTCCCCTTTCACAGTCTCGCCTTTCCCCAAGAGGCCCAATTGCAAAATATTTTGGCTCTTTAGGATTTCGTGGAAGTTGTTTTCTTCCTTTCTCCTCGCCTCCACACAACAAGTTCTACAGAGGAGAAAAGGCAGCTCCCAGAGAAAGCCGTGTCTGCTTTTTTCTGCAAAGCAATTGAGAATAATCAAAAGAGGGGGGTGGTCCAGCCTCAGAGTTTCAGGTGAGTTACTAAAATGACTAGAGATCTTCCCTGGGGTATGGTGGGTAGAAGGGGAAGTAAAATCAAAAATCATAAGGGCAGATGATGTTTTTGAGGACATCTAGGCCAATGTCCTGGTCAGCCTTGATGAAAGATCATGTAACCACATTTGGAAGGGGCAGTTGGGTCATTGCAACCAATCCATTCCATAGGATCTCCAAGAGGATCTCTCCAGATTCCATTTCAGTTTCTCTAGGGAAGGAATTGTCTCTTCCCTATTTTGACATTCAAACATACTTCCCAGGTTTGGCTCAAATCTGTTCCCCTATAATTTCTGCCCACTGTTTGGAATAATTAATCCCTTGGGCCTAGGAGACCTGAGAACTTCTCTTCTACCCTTTGTTTGTTTTCTCTGTCTGTAATCCTGAAACTGTGTTCAAACTCAGCCTTTCCATTTTTTTTTCCTTCCCGTTCATTTCATTCTTCTTCAGAGATCCTCCCAAAAGCTGGGAATTTTTAAGTTAAGCAAACAGTGGCTGATGTGAACCACTTTATAAGTCAACATGTAGAGATTTTATTTCTTCTGTTCCAAAGGGTATTTGGTATCTACTTTTATTGATCTTTTTCCTTTGCTTCTTGTTTACTGTTTTCATTGCTCTTGCTTTTAGATATATTTTTGAAGATTTATAAAGAGCATTTTATAAAGAACTCTTCTAAAACAAGCAATTTTGTGTAGCTTAATATTAAAGGGTACAGAAAAGGGGATGAATGGTTAATAGAACATCCTTATTCATGTCCCTTTTTTCAACCTTTGGCCTTCTTTCTCTGCCCTCCCTTTCAACACACAGAGTTGCTTAGATAAAACATTGTCAGCACTGCATGAGCAAATACTCCATTTATCTCAACATCAGGATCAAAGCCAATAAAACTCAAAAACATCTTGTGAAACTGGTACTACAGCAGAAGAATGGTTAAGGAATATATCTTCTTTTTTTCTTTTTAATAGTCTGTTGACCTTTTTGGCACTAGATTTGTTTTTGTCTCTGGCCATTCTAGGGAGAGCTAACATGACCTTTCATTTCCTTCACAGAAGCTATTCTCTTGCAACATTTCACCGTTGCTTTTCTGAATGTCCATCTATGATGCAGGACATCACAGCAGCTCAGCTAATGCCTGGAGAACATGGCAATGGTTGGCACCCAATCACCTAAGGATAGCCAACCTTCAATTTTTATCTAACATATTTTCTGTCAATCTAGGCCTCTCTGGAAGTTCTGGAAATCCAAAGCCATCTAGGTTCCTGCTGATGGATAGTTTGGGGTGCAAGTCTCACTCTGATATAAATTCTATGATCTGTATTCTTTCTTCTTTTAGGTGTAGTTGACACTATGTCTCAGATGCTGGCCTATTCGGTGTTGCTACTGTTTGTGGCACTGCTGAGGCCCTTGCCAACTCTTGTCCAAAAAGAAACCCGTCAGGAGAAATTCCACCGGCAGCATGTCGCTTTCCCAAAGACTGACAGCGAACTGGGTGCCCGGCGCTACTGCAACCTGATGATGCAACGAAGAGGAATGACAGCCATCAGGTGTAAGCCCACCAACACCTTCATCCATGGGAGCCCTACAGAAGTGGATGCGATTTGCAGCGATGGGGGGACTCACTCTAGTGAGAATTACTATGACAGCAATAGCTTCTTTGAGCTCACTGCTTGCCGTTTGACGGGGGAAGGATCCAGGCCTCCCAACTGTAACTATCGAGGCAGACTCAGCACCCAGCAGATCCGAGTTGCCTGCATAAACGGCGTGCCAGTGCATTTCAAAACACATCTTTAGGAGCAAGAAAGGAGCCACCATTGGAAACATCAGTGACCATGGTGGCCAGTTGGGGATTATATATCTTTAGCTACTTTAGAAGCCAAGAGAATTCAAAATTCCATTTCCTTTTTAGTGTAGTGGTGTGTTTCATTTACAATATGCTCTGGGCATTTTTTTTTCACTTCTTTCACCCCTCCTCTCTTCGTTTAGTCTTCCTCTTCTACAGCTTAAGCCAACCTGGGGACTTCCAAATAAGTTGGGACTGTGATTCCCCAGAATTCCCAGTCAGCATTGCTGACAGGAATTCTGGGAGATGTAGTCCTAATGCAATTGTGGGGATCCAAGCTGTGGAAGGCTTAAATTTAGTTGCCATATCTGGACCTGGTGACAAGATGGCTGTAAAGTGATACAGAAAACCTGAAGCTGTGTTTCTCAAACTTGGCAAACTTAAGACATGTGGACTTCAACTCCCAGAATTCCCCAGCC